ATATATATATACTGCATATAAATCATTTAAGTTCTGGCTCCTAAACTGAATTGTCGGTGAGTCAGAAAAGGTTCATAATCTACATGTCTGAATATTAAAAAGGTTACACATTATGTCCAAATCAAACATAAATTCAATGCTTTATTACGTGGCATGAACGTTTAATACTTTGGGGGATTTATCAATACTGTAGCAGACAGAATCTAGAGCAGTTGGCCATTGTAACCAATCAGCTTTTCTCTTCAGTTTGTTCAGTTAAGGTTTGAAAATGAAAGGTGGTTGCTGATTGGTTGCTGTGCACAGTTGCTCCAGATTTGATCTGCTCCAGTTTTGATACATTTCCCTCTTTGTCTTTTGATTGAAAAGTGCGTAAATATATTCTAGTTTTTTTTGAGTAACATTCTTGCCAAATGCTGTTTCAATTGTTGTAATTTGTCAACAGAACCAACTCAACTTAGAAATCAACATGTTAGGTATTACTGAATGAGCTAAATTATCATTCATAGTGGAAGAAAGAGCTTGCGTTCACTGTAGTCCTTGAAAAGGTACAGAGATAAAAGAAGTCATCATGCTGATGTCATCATATCTAATGCAGTTTCCATAGACCTGCCTTAGATGTGAGGAAGTCAAGGGACATTCGGCCAGACAGAGCGGAGGGCAGAGAGGTAAGCTCTGACTGTTGGGGGAGCAGGGATCAGGTAAGTTAAAGTGCTTTACTCCAGTCTCATAGGTATAAACAAACAGTTAATCCTTGCATTGCAGGGATAGCCCCGTTTCAAGGGCAGTTTTATGGTTTGCCCGGAGATAGGTTTTAAAGGAAAAAGGTAGACTGAACTGTTTTATATTGCCATGACTTTCACATTTTTATAGAGTTTCTGTTTCTTTCCTGTCAATAAAATGTAGCAATCTGTTTTAACCCGTGTCAGAGCATTCATAAAAGTTTTTTATACAGTAAGCTATGGAATCTAGAGTTACTCTTAATGGTTAATAGACATGGACTTTATCAAATTTATGACCCTGAAATTGCCAGAAAAACCTCCAGTGCCTTCATGGTATCTCAAAAAAGAGTGATTTCTTAATTACTTTTTGACATTCACTTGGGTTAGCAAGCAACAGACATGTCAGTGAAACCCCCTCTGATAATTGTTACTCTATCCAGATCTACAGTATAAAGTTCACATTGTCCAGTAACCATGCAAAGGCTAATGTCACCAATGTAGCAATATTGTACCACTAATTATTTTTAAGCCCAAACCAATTGTTTTAAAAGTTTAATATCAAACTATTAATTCTGCTTCCTTTTCCATAGGAATTGCATAATCCCCATATTTAAACTCTTTAGTTCCTCATATATCATAAATGGGAGGATTGGATAAAACTCATCAATTTTTGTAACATATTAAACTCAACTTCCCGTTCAGTGATAGGGGGATCATTTAATGTTGTTTCAATGTTCTGAGCATAGAAAAGGTCATAAGACCAGAAATCTCAGAGATGTCTCAGTTCAGAAACCTAATATAAAAGGAGCACTCAATTCCTGGGGGGATATACCCACTTCCTTTTCTTAGCCATAGATATTCTGATTTGTCCAACATCATTTTATATCCAGCTAAAGACCCAAATATGTCCACTTATTCATTTTAATTAAGCTATAGGAGCTGGTGGTGTTAAGCTCGCCATACACCTATAGATTAACTGCAGGTTTTCTATGGCCAGATGAAAAAAAAAGTGCAACAGATTCTTCCATCTACGCTAAACTGTGTGGATGGAGGAATCTCCCACAGGGCCAAGCTTCAGTATCTTGTTAGTCGGCCCCGCTGGTTTTCAAAATACCTGAACAATCTGATTGGATGCAAGCATGGAGGAATCTGTTGCACTTTTTCCATCTGGCCATAGAAAATCTGCAGATTATATTATAGGTGTATGGCTAACTTTAAGCATAGCTATCAGTATGGTAGTGTGGGAGATTGAGTGTACAGCAATATTATTTTATTACTATCTGGTTCCAGCGGATATGTATTTTGCAAATAAAAGAGCTTCTGCATTAAATATATTTAAAAAAATAATAATTTTCACCAATCTAATAGCACTGTTTTATGTATGTATGAGCATTGCCAAATATCTGGCAGAGATCCTGTCACCTGTCAGACATGTGGCATGCTTTTGGTTGGGGAACTGACTGTGGTTAAATACCTTATGACCTGTGACTATTTTCATTAAAGTTCCTCATTGCAATTTACTTTTAATACCCCTGTGACACAATAACTGCATGACAAAATTCAATATTATTTCATAAGTATCAAAAAAAGTTGAATTTATTTCAACTGCACAGTTTGAACCATCCTTGACCATACATAGCAACACCGTGCAAAAACAACGCTAAACATAATAAATATGGTTATTTATGGAACAATTGAAAGATGATAACCATACCTTGAAAAGTCTCCCTTTGCCTCCTAAAAGAAAACAAAAAGATGCTTAGTAATTCCGCAGCAGAACATAACATCAGTTATATTGTTCTGTATATTAGTTTATTGTCCTTTATATATGATTATATATTATCTCATGAACTATATAAAAGCGTGTTAAAGAGCTACTACTCCAGGAAAACCACCAAAGTCACATTTACTGTTAGGGATGTCCCGATATCAATACTAGTATCGGTATCAGAACCGATACTGGGCATTCTCACGAGTACTTGTACTTGTAAAAATGCCCCGATACTAAAGGCTGATACCGGCCCTTTAAATGTTTAAACACAAGTGGCTGCCTGAGGTCTCACGCTTGCTGGGGACCTCAGCCAGCCTGCTGGGGTCCTCAGACAGCTGTCTTTGACAGTCCCGGTACAAACACACCACCTACCTACCTCCTTCCCGAGACCGGCACTGCAAAAGACAGCCCTGCTCATGCACGTACAGCCCTGGAGCCCAGCACAAGCCCACATTAGCCTGGAGAGCATGGCACCCACCCACAGAGCCCTAGAGAGCCTGGCACCCACCCACAAAGCCCTGGAGAGCCCGGGCACCCACCCACAGAGCCCAGCATCTACATGCAGCCCTGGTGAGATCTGCACACTACCCTAGTGAGACCCAAACACAGCCTTGGTGAGACCCAAACGCAGCTCTGGTGAGATCTGCATGCAACCTGGTAAGACCCAAATGCAACCCTGGTAAGACCCAAACGCAGCCCTGGTGAGATCTGCACGCAGCCCTGGTGAGATGCGAACGCGGCCCTGGTGAGATGCGAACGCGGCCCTGGTGAGATGCGAACGCTGCCCTGGTGAGACCTGTATGCAGCCCTGGTGAGATCTTCACACAGCGCTGGTGACACCCAAACCCAGCCCTGGTGAGACCCAAACAAAGCCCTGGTGAGACCCAAACAAAGCCCTGGTGAGACCTAAACAAAGCCATGGTGAGACCCAAACAAAGCCCTGGTGAGACCCAAACACAGCCCTGGTGAGATCTGCAGGCAGCCCTGATGAGACCTGCAGGCAACTCTGGTTAGACCTGCACGTAGCCCTGATGAGACACGAACGCAGCCCTGGTGAAACCTGCATGAAGCCCTGGTGAAATCCAAATGCAACCCTGGTGAGACCCTGCACGCGACCTTGGTGAGATCTGCATGCAGCCCTGGTGAGACCGAAACGCAACACTGGTGAGATCTGCATGTAGTCCTGGTAAGACCCAAATGTTGTCAACAAAGCCATGGTGAGACCCAAACAAAGCCCTGGTGAGACCCAAACACAGCCCTGGTGAGATCTGCAGGCAGCCCTGATGAGACCTGCAGGCAACTCTGGTTAGACCTGCACGTAGCCCTGATGAGACACGAACGCAGCCCTGGTGAAACCTGCATGAAGCCCTGGTGAAATCCAAATGCAACCCTGGTGAGACCCTGCACGCGACCTTGGTGAGATCTGCATGCAGCCCTGGTGAGACCGAAACGCAACACTGGTGAGATCTGCATGTAGTCCTGGTAAGACCCAAATGTTGTCATTCTTCATTGCTGTATAATCAATGTGTATACAATAGAGAATAGCAACCGGCTATAGAATACTACAAATCTCAGCAACCCATGATTGCTGGCTGCCATTCCCCATTGCTGTATAATTATGGATTAATGGGATCTGTAGCCCTCTATTGCTGGTTGCCATTTTCCATTGCTGAATAATCATGGATTCATGGGATCTGTAGTCCTCTATTGCTGGTTGCCATTCTCCATTGCTGAATAATCATGAACTGAATTACAGTCCTTCATAATTATGAAGAAACTGCCCTAAAATCATTAGTCTGTATTCTTTTAGAAAAAATGTCACATGTCCCTTTAAAAAAAGTATCGATAATTGGTATCGGCAAGTACCTGAGGGATATAATTATGAAAAAACTGCCCTAAAATCATTAGTCTGTATTCTTTTAGAAAAAATGTCACATGTCCCTTTAAAAAAAGTATCGATAATTGGTATCGGCAAGTACCTGAGGGAAAGTACTTGTACTTGGTCTTAAAAAAAAAGGTATGGGGACATTCCTATTTACTGTGATGTTCCTATACAGCTTTGTGGTTATGCAGTTCTTTACATCTCATAAAATAAGACCTACAAGTAAATGATCATTTCTTATTTTTTCAGTGTTCCAGGTTATCATAAATGAGAAATGTAATAAAGTAACAGTTATAAAACTTCTACATTTGGTGTGAACCAAGTTCACCCAAGTTCATCCAGGTGTGAGGAAAACTGTCAGTGACATCCCCTTTTGGTCCAAACAGCTGTGGCTGGGGCATTTCCTGCCCCTCTGTTACAGGTAGCTGTGGTGTGAGGAATGCCTCAACTGCAATTGATTGGGCCAGGCAGGGCCGGCCTTAGGCCTTTAGGCGCCCTGTGCGAGAAAGCTTTACAGCGCCCCTCAGTGACCACACCCCTCCGTGGCCACACCCTTTAGTGGCCACACCCCCCAGTAACCACACCCATTTATCACCCATATTTTTGGTAAAATATAAAAAGCGGGGTCACGTCGGGTAAATAGATCCCTGGTGAGACCCAAACACAGCCCTGGTGAGATCTGCAGGCAGCCCTGATGAGACCTGCAGGCAACTCTGGTTAGACCTGCACGTAGCCCTGATGAGACACGAACGCAGCCCTGGTGAAACCTGCATGAAGCCCTGGTGAAATCCAAATGCAACCCTGGTGAGACCCTGCACGCGACCTTGGTGAGATCTGCATGCAGCCCTGGTGAGACCGAAACGCAACACTGGTGAGATCTGCATGTAGTCCTGGTAAGACCCAAATGTTGTCAACAAAGCCATGGTGAGACCCAAACAAAGCCCTGGTGAGACCCAAACACAGCCCTGGTGAGATCTGCAGGCAGCCCTGATGAGACCTGCAGGCAACTCTGGTTAGACCTGCACGTAGCCCTGATGAGACACGAACGCAGCCCTGGTGAAACCTGCATGAAGCCCTGGTGAAATCCAAATGCAACCCTGGTGAGACCCTGCACGCGACCTTGGTGAGATCTGCATGCAGCCCTGGTGAGACCGAAACGCAACACTGGTGAGATCTGCATGTAGTCCTGGTAAGACCCAAATGTTGTCATTCTTCATTGCTGTATAATCAATGTGTATACAATAGAGAATAGCAACCGGCTATAGAATACTACAAATCTCAGCAACCCATGATTGCTGGCTGCCATTCCCCATTGCTGTATAATTATGGATTAATGGGATCTGTAGCCCTCTATTGCTGGTTGCCATTTTCCATTGCTGAATAATCATGGATTCATGGGATCTGTAGTCCTCTATTGCTGGTTGCCATTCTCCATTGCTGAATAATCATGAACTGAATTACAGTCCTTCATAATTATGAAGAAACTGCCCTAAAATCATTAGTCTGTATTCTTTTAGAAAAAATGTCACATGTCCCTTTAAAAAAAGTATCGATAATTGGTATCGGCAAGTACCTGAGGGAAAGTACTTGTACTTGGTCTTAAAAAAAAAGGTATGGGGACATTCCTATTTACTGTGATGTTCCTATACAGCTTTGTGGTTATGCAGTTCTTTACATCTCATAAAATAAGACCTACAAGTAAATGATCATTTCTTATTTTTTCAGTGTTCCAGGTTATCATAAATGAGAAATGTAATAAAGTAACAGTTATAAAACTTCTACATTTGGTGTGAACCAAGTTCACCCAAGTTCATCCAGGTGTGAGGAAAACTGTCAGTGACATCCCCTTTTGGTCCAAACAGCTGTGGCTGGGGCATTTCCTGCCCCTCTGTTACAGGTAGCTGTGGTGTGAGGAATGCCTCAACTGCAATTGATTGGGCCAGGCAGGGCCGGCCTTAGGCCTTTAGGCGCCCTGTGCGGCCGCACTGCTCGCACACCCCTAAGGCCGGCCCTGGGGCCAGGAGGGGGTGCCACTGACAGTTTTGTGTGTACTTGGGTGAACTCAGTTCCCACAAAAGCCCACGCACATCACTAATATGTAGCTACTCAATCAATCTGGACCTCTTGCATCAAGCATACTGATTTTTAACATATGGTTAACAATAATTCAAATAGAGTTACTTTTATAAATGATTTTATTAAATCCCATGGTATATAATAATCTTGATCACTTAGAGCAACAGGGCTCTAAACTCTGCTAACAGTTACAATTTCCTTTGTTGTCTTCCTGCTACACAGTCAATTGTTGCATTTATTTCTTTTGGCCGTTTGTATAGCCACCGCAATGTTTCCATAAGGAAGTAATTGTTTGTTGTCTGCTCTGTGGCTTCTAAAGAAAAGCAAAATAACTGAAAGAGAAATGTGAATTCACTTGTTTGTGCTGAGACCCATTTATAAATTGACAGTAGTTTGCCATTTCACAATGTTTTAAATTCACGTCTGGCTACCATTAATTGGCAGTCTTTCAATAGCTGAATTTCTTCCCAGGGCTTAATTTGCTCCACAGGCAGCTATAGGAAACTTATATTTGGCGCATAACGAGCAGAGGTAGGAGCACTGTCGAATATCACTGTGCTTCGTTTATCTGCTTGTAGAGTCAGGTAGTAGTAAAAATAAAATGAGTTTGACCTATTTTTTAAGTGGAGTCAAAATTTCCAGCAACACTGTTACAAAATTGTTGTAGTTGAAACCAGCAGACATTTATACTAACAATTTAACACTGTAATACAACTATTTGGGATGTTTACCCCCATATGCTGCTTTCCTATCTAATTATAATACAGTTTGGTCTGTTTGATTCCATATAGTAACACAGTTGTTCCAATTGTCACCCAGTTGTGTACATTTGTCTGTGTGACTTTTGAAGGCTGTATTTCTAGAAGAACATATTTATTTATCTATTACAGGTGTTTATATAGCACCGACAATGTTACGCAGGGCTATAAATCATGCACATTCACATCAGTCCCTGCCCTCAAGGAGATTACAATCTAAGGTCTCTATCTCACATGCATACATACAAGG